TGCAGCTCTGTGAGCACAGGCAAACATCACAATGAAAGGACTGCAAGCCTTGAAGAGCACTGTAGCTGAGGGTGCGGGCACTGCGACCTCCGAATCAATCCCCTGCAAGCACCACAGCTAAAAGGATGTAAGAGCACCCACAGCCAGGCACCTGTAACCCCCATCTCTGCAGCAGCTACTTCAGCATCAATGATAAGGAAGGGGAGGGGGGCTGATAATATACCAAAAATAGTGGTAATAAAGAAATGTGGTTAAAAAATTCCCCATGCTGAGCATAGGTGCTGGCACATAATAAGTGCTCAGGAAATATCTGTTAAGTCAATGCCCATCTCCACTGTGTGTGCCGCCTTGCTCTTTCAATACCATCCTATACATACACTGGATAAAATATGAACTATAAAGCTCATGTTGTGGTCTGTGACAAGGCCCAGATTAACTTTTATGTATGTAAACAAAAAAACTCTTTTATGTATCCAGAAAAAAAAAACCCAGCTCCAGGAAGAAAAAAAGAAAGAATTATATAAACTCTCCTTTCGAAAGCCGTGGCTGGGTTTTCAAGCTGGTGTACTGGCTTGCTGGTGTCTATGTTTCTTTGCCTGCTTATTTCTCCGGAGAAGTCTGTGTTCTCTCTCCCTCTTCCCCATCACATCTTTCTAAATAAGTGTGACTAAAAACTATCTACACACACACACACACACACACACACACACACACACACACACACTGCTCTTGTGAAGTCCGACCCTCTCAGAAAGGCCAAAAGCTTGCCCAAGGCCCCTATCAGATTCAGATTTTACCGCTCAACCCTGTGCGTCTACACCACTCTGCTTGCGCCTCTATTTCAGAAATACTTCTTCCTGCCTCAGGTTTCCTTAGTCATCCACAGCCTCTCATCCAGGAGGTAGTGGGCTTTCTTTGGAAAGAGACTGCATGTAAGTCATTTATGTCTGGACTCTCCCCTGGCATGAGTAATGGTGGTGCTAAACATCTGCTGAGTTGAAGAGCCACTGGAATCAAACTTTGTGTGAGTTTTCCAAAGGCAAGACGGGATTTATACCCACCTACCCACACTCCCTTTTGACCACCTGAATACGTTTATGAGAGAGCTGGTCAAAGCCAGAGGTGCAGTCTGAGGCCATTAAACAAAGGAAAAACTAGCAGTCCCATATGGGGACGTACCCCTGACCTGGATCTCATTAGCACCATCTGACAACCAACTGGGCCAACCAGCCAGTGTTTCATAACTCTTAATGATACAGGCTCACTTTGAGAATCAGGTCCATTTTTTTTAATGACATAATAGGAAAATGATCACAGGCCGTGAGGTAGGAAGAAGAGTGGATAATGAGGAAGGGGAAGTAAGAGAATGACACCACAGGGGATGTTCATATGAGGAAAGATCTAAAAGACATTGAAGAACAAAGAAGATCCGGAAGGGAGAAAGTAAAGGGGAATGGAGCCTGGGCTCCAACAATGGGGTTTTTATTCATCTATCCCATTATTCCAAGAACAAGGAAACAGTCCGTGAATCTGGAAAGCAAGATCTGTGGACTGATAAAGAGATGCACCTTTGGGTTATGTGTGTACATTCTTCATCTGTGGCTTTTATTAACTAAAGGATGCAATCAAAACAAATAACAAGAAAAACTTGTGGAGGGTCTATAAAAATATAATGAGTACATTTGCAGAAAAACATGCTAAGATCAAATTGTAAAAGCCTTTTAAGTTGCTAGGTCAATAACTTACCCAATAGTTTACCGATAAAGAATGTCCGAGGAGATCTGATGTCTGATTTGAATGTACTAAACACGAGTTACTGTCAAAGACCAGGTACTGGATTTGATGGCTCACTAAGTTCACTCTAATATAACAAGGGTTCAGATGATAGGAGTTAACTTTGTGTGTTTGCATTCATATTTTCTGACACATCAAACTGATAAAAAAAAAATACTACCAAGTGTGTTTATGCACAGAAAACAGATTGATTTTTTTTGGTGGGGGCAGGGTGCCAAGGAAGACAGTAAGATGCATACTTTAAATTTTTTAAATTTGCTCTTTGGGAACGAAACCATTCAACGATGTTTAATCTGATTTTTTCCCCCCAATTATGTTGGAAGGCACTAACAAATGTATCACTTTTTTAACTTTGCTTTGTAACACTTGAGTGCTTACCACTTGATGTGCCATTTAAAGGATAATTAATGGATAAACTAAAAGGATAATTATTATGGAGTTTAATATAGCAGGAAAACTGCTCATTAATCCTTACAAGCATAACTTCGTTATTATCATTTACTTAAAAAGATATCATAGGGAACTGGCATTTACCACCACATTAACTACGTATTATATGCCCACACTCTATGTCCCTGCAATAATTTTGGCATATTAAAAAAATAAACTTTATTTAAAGCATCAAATAGAAAGTCTTGGTGGCTAATCAATACCTTGGAAAACAAAACTTACAACCGTCATTTTTTTCCTCTCTTCCAAGGGTTTAATATTCATTTGCAGCATATCAATTCAGCAAACTATCACATTAAAAGTACTAAATGCAAAAAAAATAAAATAAAATTGATGTAAAAGGATATACACCATGACACTAACGGATATTGATCAAGATTAAAGAGACAACACAAATGTAAATAATTATGTCAACTTTCTGCAATCTTATTTAAATAATCAATAAAAATATCTTATGGAACATTTGGCATATAATTGGTCCTTAATAAATCTGGGGTAACAGAACTTTCCCAGCATTCATTTAAAGAACTAAAGTAATTCACCAAAAAGGAAATGCACTAAAATGTTAACAAGATTATATCTGGGTGACAGGTTCAAAGGTGATTCCATTTTTTCTTTCTCTATTTTTCCCCATGTTTTGTCAAATAAGTTTGTATTTAAAAACCAAAATCTTTAGGGGCTAGAGAGAGAGTACAATGGATACTTTGCATGTGGCTGACCTGGGTTCGATCCCCAAAACCCTATATGATTCCCCAAATCCCGTCAGGAGTGATTCCTGAGCACAGAACCAGGAGTAAGCTCTGAATACTACTGGGTGTGGCCTGAACCCAAAACTTTGTTTTGAAAAAGAAAATAATGTACCAGATCCACTTTCCTTTATTTTGTGGCAGCATAACTGAGAAAGAAAAGTGAAAACATTTTTTAGAGAATGAAGTAACAAATTCAGCATTTAAACCATATTTCTGAATTGCTTATTTGGGTGGGGGTGGAGAGGGAGTTAGGGGGTCACACACAGCAGTGCTCAGGACTTACTCCCAGCTCCTTATGGGGGTCAGTGGACCATATGGGAAGTTGGGCATCTAATCCATGTTGGCCACATGTCAGGCAAGCACCCTCTCCATTCTCTAGCCCCTGAATTGCTTATTTTGTTAATAATAAATGACTTTTCAAGGACACTTAGTATGGATGCATTAAGAAAAAGAGACAAGATCAAATGTCTGATTTTTCTAGCATGTAAGTGGTCTGTAAACATTGTTAGATGAGTGTCCAGAGCGATAGTACACCAGGTAGGGCGTTTGCCTTGCATGCAGCCCAACTGGGTTCGATCCCTGGCATCCCATATGGTCCCCTGACCACTGCCAGGAGTAATTCCTGAGTGCAGAGCCAGGAGTAACCCTGAGGTTTTCCAGGTGTGGTCCAAAACCGAACAAAAAAATTGTTCGATGATTATATTAATATTATTGCTAATGAGCAAACATTTTTTCAGCATGTATACCTCCAATGACTGGCATCATCTGAACTGTCAGCTATACTAATCTTAGTACTATTTCTAGCCAACTGACTTCATGCCTTAGAAATAGATTAGAACAGGGAGATAATTTGCAGGGCTAACGCATGTTTCATATGCAGGAGACTGGAGTTTAATCCCCAGCACTTCATGGTGAATGTAGCTGGGCAGTGCCCCTAAGAATCACCAGATATGACCCCAATAGCAATAGCACTGTATAGCATTGTCCTCCCGATGTTCATCAATTTGCTCGAGTGGGCACCAGTAACGTCTCCATTGTGACTTGTTACTGTATTTGGCATATCAAATATGTCACGGTTAGCTTGCCAGGCTTTACCATGCGGTAGATACGTCTCGGTAGATTGCCAGGCTCTCCAAGAGGGGCAGAGGAATCAAACCAGGGTCGGCTCGGGTCGGCTGCATGCAAGGCAAGAGCCCTACCCGCTGTGCTATTTCTCCAGCCTGCCCCAATAGCAAAAAAAAAAAAAAGGTAGATGAATGTTGACCAAAAAATAGGGAAGTAGTCTTTTTAATAGCACAGATATTCCATAACAGAATCCACCCCAGAATTTTTGCTTTGATAGGAAAGACTGTTAAGTGGGAAGGAAGCAACATTCAAGTGCCTTCCAGTTAGCAGACATTATATTATTCCTGTTTATAATGGTCTAGTTCAGCTTCCCATAACCTGAATTGAAATCCTTAGTTAGAAATTATGTTCCTTGTATAAAAATGAAAATCCTCATCTTAGGGCAAATACAATCAAGTCTTAGAAGTGGTAAAGGACTTGCCTTTAGTCCATGCAACTGTCTAATGACATTAGCATAACTTGGGAGCCAGGGTTTCTTCTGTTTTGTTTTGCTTTGGGGTAGTATCCTGTAGTACTGATGGGCTACTCCTGACTCTGTGCTGAGGGTCGTTCCCGGCAGGTATTCAGGGGGCCATATGGGGTGCTGGGGATTGAATCTGGGCCACCCACATGCAAAGCACATGCTCAGCCCACTGAGTCATCTCTCCAGCCATGATCCAAGGAATCCAGGTCTGCTAGTTCCAATACATACTCTCGTTCTCCATCATCGTTCTACCTACACATTTCTACATCCCAGGATGCTCGCAAATCAGAATTCTTGCAGAAACACCAGTTAGAATAAAGGCACAGCACTAAGGCTATGAGCACTCATGATGAAAACATGAAGGTTATTTAAGAGCATGAGGGTTATTTGGAACCACCCTCTGCCTGGACACTCATTACCTCTAATTCCAGGGCCTCTGAGAGTAGTTTCTGGGCATTCTTCCTTAATGTCTCCGTTTTGGAATCACTTCGGACTTCAATGGAAGGTTTATTCGAATGTTGTTCAATGAAAGTTCTCCACTCCGTATAGACTTCTTTGGCAAGACAAGCCACTTCTGAGTCTGAATGCTTACGCATTTTGTTCACAGTGTGCCCTGGAAGGAGAAGAAAAAACAAAATGAAACAAAAGACAAAAGATCACTGTCTTTTTTTTTTTTTTTTTTTTTTTTGGGTCACACCTCACAGTGCTCAGGGCTTACTCCTGACTCTGCACTCAGGAATTACTTCAGACAGTGCTTGGCAAACCACATGGGATGCCGGGGATCAAACTCAGCGGGCTACGTGCAAGACAAGCGCCCTACCGGCTATACAATCCTCAGCATCCATTTATTTGGCTAATAAATGTGAAGAGATCGATGGAACTAAACAAAAATTTTGTAGCTCAGGATGCAGTTGACAATTAGTGATGAACTCGTCTGCGGCAAGGCTGGCGGGAAAACTGGTCACGAAGGCCAGGAATCTTTGTCCCCCTCCAATCCCAGACTCCCCAAGGCAGGATCATAGGCTGGGAGAAGCACCTCACAGCATTTTTGTATCCTCTTCCCAAGGGATAAGTGAAACAGCATCTAACTAGCTATGCCAACCTAACATCTAAGTTATAGAAAATACTTGAGCCAGAGGAGGCATTTAAAGCACAACAAGAGGCAACAGAATAACGTAGACTGAGGAATTTTCAACAGGGCAATAGATGCAGTCCCTTCGATAGTCACCGGCACTTTTTCAAAAGTTGCCAAGATGAGAGACTGCTGCAGATTAAACAAGTGAGACCAAGCTATCAAATGGGATGTGTAATTCACTTTCTGATGGAAATAAACCAAGAACGAAATGACGTTTTAAGATAAGTAAGGATATTCAATTGCATCGGGGAATTATTAATTTTGCAGAACAGGACTGCAGCATTGTGGTTATATGAGAAAACATCCCTATGTTCCAGGACGCACGCTGAAGTATGCACAGATGAAATGACAAGATGTCTGAGGATCTGCTTTAAAATCCTCCCAGGTACGGCAGGCAGGGCACTTGTCTTGTATATGCACAACCTGGGTTTGATCCCTGACACCCCGTAGGGTCCCTTGAACCCTGCCAGGAGTAATCCTAAAAAACAAAAGCAAAAACAAAAAAAATAAAGAAAAAGTAAGATCCACCAGTAACTAAACAAAAGTGCAAACAAGGCCAAGATGGTATATATGGGACAAACATCTTAATAGTCCTTGAATCTGGGTAAAGAGCATATGGGAGTTTGCTATACCACTCTCTTTATTTGCCTAAATAACCCCCCCACCCCAACTTTTTTTTTTTGGTTGAAACACCAAGAGATATGGAGTTACAAAGCTGTTCATGATTGGGTTTCAGTCAATGTTCCAACGCCCTTACATTCACTAGTGAATATTTCCCATCACCAATGTCCCCTGTTTTACCCCCCTCCCCAGCCTGCCTAGATGGCAGATACTTCTCTCTCTCTCTCTCTCTCTCTCTCTCTCTCTCTCTCTCTCTCTCTCTCTGTCTATATCTCTCTCTCCTTTTAGGTATTATGGTTTGCAATACAGGTGCTGAGGAACATTGTGAATGGGATTTTTTAAAAATATCTCTCTCTTTTATTTATATAGGAAAGCCATAGACTTCTGCATATTAATTTGGTAACCTGCCACTTTGCCATATAAATCTACTGTTTCTAGCTTTTTTTTACTTTTTGGGTCACACCCGGCAGTGTTTTGGGGTTACTCTTGGCTCTTCACTCAGGAATTACTCCTATGGGGTTTTGGAGAACCATATGGGATGCTGGGGATCAAACTCAAGTCAGCCACATGTAAGGCAAATGCCCTACCTGCTGTACTATTACTTCAGCCCCTGTTCCTAGCTTTTCTGTAGGGTATTTAGGATTTTCTAAATATAGTATCATATTCTCTACAAATTGTGAGAGCTTGACTTCTTCCTTTCCTATCTGGGTGCCCTTGGTATCTTTTTCTTGCCTACCTGCTATGGCAAGTACTTCTAGTACTATATTGAATAGAAGTGGCAAAAGTGGGCAACCTTGTCTTGTGCCTGATCTTAGAGAGGGGGGTTTTAGTTTTTCCCCACTGAGAATATTGTTTGCTATGGGTCTGTGGTAAATGGTTTGGCTATATAGAGGAAAGTTCCTTCGACTCCCATTTTGTTGAGTTTTGTGTTTTTAATCATGAATGGTACTAGATCTTGTCAAATGCTTTCTCTACATCTGTTAATCTGATCATATGGTTAAAGTAAAGTAAAGGCCCTCCCGTTGATCATCGATTTGCTCGAGCGGGCCCAGTAACGTCTCCATTGGAGACTTTGTTGTTACTGTGTCTGGCATATCGAATACGTCACGGGTAGCTTGCCAGGCTCTGCTGTGCGGGCGAGATACTCTCGGTAGCTTGCCGGGCTGTCCGAGAGGGGCGGAGGAATCGAACTCGGGTTGGCCATGTTGGCTCCGTGCAAGGCAAACGCACTACCGCTGTGCTATCGCTCATATGGTTATTTTTATTTTTTAATTTTATTGATATAGTGTATTATGCTGATTAATTTGTGTATGTTAAACCATCCTTGCATCCCTGGGATGAATCCTACTTGGTCATGGTGTATGATCTTTTTTGATGAGTTGCTGGGATTCTATTTACTAGTATTTTATTGAGGATCTTTGCATCTGTATTCATTAAGGATATTGGCTTGTAATTCTCTCTCTCTCTCTCTCTCTCTCTCTCTCTTTCCATGATGTCTCTGTCTGCTTTTGGTAACAGGATGTTTGCTTCATAGAAACTGGAAGTGTTTTTGTTTCTTCAATTTCCTGGAAAAGCTTGAAAAGGATTGGCAGTAGGTCCTCTTTGAAGGTCTGAAAGAATTCACTAGGGAATCCATCTGGGCCTCTCAGCTTTTGTTTTTGGATAGAGGACGGCAGACATTAAACTGATAAGAACAGGTACTACACTTGATCTTAGCCAAAAGGCCGAGAAGTGATCAGCTTATGTTTTTGAGAAGACTTTGATTACCATCTCACTTTCCTCAATAATGACAGTTCTATTCAAGTATTCCAAATCTTCTTGGTTAAGCCTTGGGAGGTTATACGAGTCCGGGAATTTATCCATTTCTCCTGGGTTCTCTTATTTCATGTCTTTGCCTGTATTTTTGATATTTATGGCAAAAGAGGGAAGGGTATGAAATATAGGGGGGCGGGGAGCTCTTAGATAAAATCAACTACATAGGGGCCCAGGGATTTCCCTGTACTCATGAGGCTGTGAATCTGATCCATGGCATGGCCAGGTGTGCCAGAGGGCACTGTAGTCCCCAGCATTCCACAACTAAGTTTAAGTGCGAATGTGTGTGTATGCATGTGAGTACCACAATTAAAGTGTGTGAACCATACCAGCGCAGGCCTTCCTCCTGGCTCTGCGATCCCAGCACAGAACTGGAGGTAGCCACACGCAAGGTAAACGCCTTAGCCACTGTACTATCTCTCTGGTCCCCACAAGAGCTTTCTCGTGTCAGCAATAACCAGTCAGAATACAAAGGGGGGGGGGGGGCAGAAATTCTGTTTAAGCTGTAGAAATGACAACCCTTTCAGCCCCCTCTCTCCTCAGCCACAGGTGGTGTGCTGTTCCCTTTCGCTCGCTCTGACACCAGGACCGTCTGTGGCCCCTTCAGCCTTCCTCCACACGGCTGCAAGTGACCTTTATTAACTTGAGCACTTTCTCTGTCTCTTCAGGGTGGTATTTCTAAAACCGAGCTCTAACCCTTTCGCTCCTCCACTTAATCTTTCAACCCTCAATTCAAACTCTTTATCTTGTCAGAGGAGTCCCTTCAGAGGCTGCCTCCCGCCCCCAGTTTTTCAGCTTCCCTTCTAGTTCTTCTCATGCCAGTGACCTGCGGCTCCCCCCAGGCCCTGTCCTTTGTCTGGTCTCTTTGCTTTTGAATACACACGCCAGTGAAGGAACACGCTGCTGCCAGAAATTTTCTTCCTCCCAGTCATCTGGGGAAGTTCCCTTGTGCCGCTGGGACCCACTTCATGAGTGCCCACCGACTGCAAGCCTTCCCTACTATTCCCTTCCTCTTTGCTTCCTTAACACCCTGTGCTTCCCTCCATCACCCTAACTATCTGATTACCAGTAATTAGCTGAGCAGGACTCTTCATCGTCCAAGAGACTGTCTCCCGCAGAGAGCAGATGAGGGCAGTTGAGACGGGTAGGACAGTGGCTGTTCCATAAAAGTTGATGCAACAAGATTTATATGAAGAATATATTTTGACGGAGGCTTAGGGACACACCCAGCAGTGTTTGGGAGCTACTTTGTCCTCAGGGCTCAATCATGGAGGTACTCAGGCGGGGGCATTCAGTGTCAGGGATCAAACTAGGGCTGACCCCATGCAATGGAAATGACTTGATCCCTGTACGATTTCTCTAGCCTCAAGAATAACAGATTTTTTCTTCTTCTTTTTGGGTCACACCCAGTGATGCTCAGGGTTACTCCTGGCTCTACACTCAGGAATTACTCCTGGTGGTGCTTGGGGGACCATATGGAATTGCGGAGATTGAACCCGGGTCGGCTGCGTGCAAGGCAAACGCCCTACCCACTGTACTATTGCTCCAGTCCCAAGAACAACCGATTTTAATCAAAATATTTAACAAGATTTTAACACGGGGGGGAGAATATATTATATAAGAAAATGCACAAAAATGTCAGCATTGAAATTAACGCATAGATTTAATGTGATCTTAATTTTAATTAGGGGCCAGTGAGCTAGTTCCGCAGGCTTTGGGGTCCCTGGTTCAATCCCCAGAACCACAGGGTCCCGGGCACTGCTGGGAGTGACTCCTGAGAACCCGCCAGGATTTGCCTCAGCACAGGCCCAGAAACAATCAGTCAATCTCACAGGCTGTTTTACTAGAATACATCAAAATTATCTTGGATTTCTTTTACAACCATAAAGCAGCAAGAGTATAACAATATTATTTTGTAAAAGAGGATTATGAGATAAAAGTACCCTTGTAAGATATTAATTAACTTTATAAGGTATTACTAGCCTTATTAGACATTTCAAAGCAATGATAATTAAAATTACATGACAAGCACCAAGAAACAGAGG